TATAAAACTTCTCCTTTTCCAAGATAACGTATAGATTGTTGAGTAGTTTAAAAAAAGAATAAGTAAACTCTTCCCGAAAACTAGCTATAACTGAAATGGTTTTACTACCAGCCTTTCTTCTTTTCCGTCTCGCTTTCACCCCTGTTTACAACCCTGAATACATATTGTTTAAGTTTATAAATTAAATAATGAGCACTATTTTGAAGCTCCAGATAATGATTTTAAAATCGTTAGTAATTATTTAAATTTATTATTGCATATAAGATTGCCTTTAATACACAATTTTATGCACAAAAAATATTGTGTTTTATGTAATACTTGATGCGCCTATTTTTGATTGACGAAAAATTCATAAGTAAATAAAAAAGTAAAGGAGAAATATAAAGTCTATATAAGAAATAAAGCTCATTGTAACATGAATAAACAATTGAAAAAAAATTGTTGAAATTGCATAAGCCAAAACGCTATTTAAAACTGAATTTCGTAAATGCTCTCAATGATTTCGCTCACTTTCGTTGGAGCACTATTAGAAATTTCTCGGAAAAAATGGTTGACTAACAATTTATTTAATTTGTATTTTTCCATATTTAAGCGAAACTGCCAAATAACTATAAATAAGTTGATATTCAAACTGCTAACTAAAAGAAAAACCGTTTATTATCTGCTTTCACCTAATACAGTTAAATAAGCAAAATTTTATCGCACCAACTAGGTCCAACCAATAAAGTACCATTCAGTTCCTTGCAATACCTTTTACATGTTACAGCTGAGAGGGTTAACCTGTCAATCTCATGACCGACAAAACAGGGGTACGAGTCCCAGAGTTGACACCACAATATTTACTCCATTCCCTTCAACACACGAAGAGTTTCTTTTCTAGCATCCTGCACTTCCCAATTCGTGAACCTAGACTATTAGAATACGATTCTCTCATTCACGTATAGAGAGCAGCACAATATAGCTGCTTAGCACAAAAAAGTCTAGTATTTTCCATCTTTTACGATAGGTGAAACAGCCAGATAAACTAATTAAACCAGGTTCCACGATTAGTTTAAAAAAACACAACTCAACTATAACCTAACTCCAATGCCCATTACCTAACAAAAAACGTAGCTGCAATGTCCAGGTAAATTTCGTTGAAACCATGTTACTCGTAAATGGTTAAAAAAAAACCGTATAGTTTTGTAAACATGTTTTTTTTTTTACCACAGTAGTATAGTAATTGTAACGGTAGTTATAGTAGTTGTAAAGGTAAAGAATGTTCTTTGTCGTAAACTTTATGCTTCATTGGATGGACAGACTGCTGCCGGTTATATTTTAGAAGAAAATTCAAACAGTGAAACGAAATGAAAAAACAAACAAACAAACTATGAATGTTTTTGTTTGAAGCTTGCAACTACTTCCTCGATTAGATTTTTTTATTGTCAATTTTCTAATGTTGAGTAATCTATTATTTTGATTATTTCATTTATTAGATGTAACTTAATTTAAATAAAATCTTCGACAAATTTTAGCGCACAAAAACAACAATAAAATTATGAGTTCTTAAAATTATTGATATGTTTTTCATGCTTAGTATACTGACAAATACATATGACTGAAACTTTGCAAAAATATCATCAATTCAGTTTTATTTTTTATATATTCTTTAATATCAAGTAAAATATTGCTTAATTAATTTTTAATTTGTAATTCATTAATGGAATTTTTAAATAATAATAATAATGCTAAAGGACGACAAATAAAAAACATTATTTTGAAAATTAAATGCTCACAAAAATGTTAAATATGTCATAGACTATTTTAAGTAATTTTTACATGATGCATTAATTTTTCGTACTTTTATTTTTAGTAATTTTTTTTCTTTTAATGGGGTACATTATTTCACAGATATCAGCAATATACAATAAAATAACGAAGATATATGAATAGTCCTCATACAGTTTTTATAACTTTCTCTTCAAAATGATATATGCTAGTTTTTGTTATTCAAAAATATGTTGTTTTTTTTCCGTCTCAGTTTAGAAATTATTTGTGTATCTATAACGTTGTATAAGGCAATTTCTTTTAAAAAACTAATTAGGAAAATTGCTTAACATTTTTCAATGGGTTCTTTTTTACGGTGAAAGAAATTTCGTTTAAACAATTTAAATAATGAGAGAAAAATTTATTTTTTCAACCACTATAGGTTTCTATAATTTTTTCCCCGATATTTTTTCGACTTTTTTTGTTATCAACTCTTTTATGACTAATTTGAATAGTTCTATCTTTGAAACATAATAATATAAAAAATAATATCAAAGGTTTAGAGTAGATTTTATGTGAGGTTTTCAAAGAAAATAATTCAAGTCGTAACAATAATTTATTAAAATTGTTGTTTGGGCTAATGAGTGAGTGCTTTACTTTTCTACTGTTTACTTTCAAATTTAATGAAATTTTTTTATATCATTTCCCGAATTTTCTTTAAATATTATCTTCATGAAACTTGGCTAATTTGGCATCTAGCAAATGCAGTTATATATTAAAAGGAAAAAAATAGAAAAGAAAAGGAAAAAAGGAAGCAACGTAAAGTTTTAACACAGCATTTCATGGATATTTCTCTCGATAAAAATAGTGTTTAAATTGTAACAAAATAATCAACGATTAAAATACATAATTCTTTTTTTCATATTTTCACTCTCTTCTCCCCCTCTAATTGTGCGACTTTTTTTTTTTAATATCATACATGTTGTCACATGTGACTAATCTGACTAGTAACGTTTAAGAAAGAAAATACAAAAATAATTAAATTACGTGAAATGCTTAAAACAAATTTTCAAGTGAACTTTTCGAAGAAAAAATAGTTTTATATCTTAACAATAATTTATTAAAATTACTATTTTCTTTCAACTTTCACTACATTTTTTTTATTATCTCATATCATACATTTTTTGACTAGTAATTGGACAAGTTATAGCGTTATAACTAACAAACGTTGTTATATCTAAAAATAAAAAAAAAGAAACGAAAAAAAAGATCTTAAAAAATTTTTAAGCGCCATTTTATACATATCTACTTTTTTTGATAAAAAACTACATTTAAATTATAAAAAAAATGATCGATAATTATATCGCAATTATGCTTTCCGAGTTCTGACCACCTTTAATTTTGAGACTTTGTTATATTTTCTTCACATCTTATGTCTAACGAATATAATTATAACTAAAAAATGAATATATAAATCAAAACAAAACATTTTAGAACATTTTTTTTATGGGTGCATTTCGTAGTAAGAAATTATGTTTCAATCGTAAACTAAGCACAACCGTTATTTTCTTCTCATTTTTTGTCTTTCCCCTCTTAATTTCACGACTTCTCTTCGTTAAGTAACGAATTTTCGTTACGTCTAAGAACACAATTAAAACACAAATAAATAAAGTAAAATATTTTAGAGCAGCTTTTTTGGCGTTTCTCATAGTAAGAAATTATGTTTACGTTGTTTATGTAATTAAAATTCGATTACTTCCTCCCTGTTTTTTCCCCCCATAGTTTTGCGACTTTTCTTTGATATCATGCTGTAACGATTTCGACAGTTTTATGAAACAAACATGAAAATACCCTAAAATAAGCAACGCAAATGCAGTGTTTTAGAACAATTTTTATGAGTACTTTTAAAAGTAAAATCTTGTTTAAATCATAGTCAATATTAAACATTATGATTATTCCCCCTATTTTTACCATTACTTTTTTCTCAATTATACTTATACCTAATCTTATATTTACTTATATCTATCACCCATAGTTCTATCGAAATAATAAATAAATAAGTAAAAACAAGTAATTAAATTGGGTGAAAAACTAGAACAGTATTTTGTGGATACTTTTTTCCTTAAAAAATTATGTTTAAATATTCACAAAAATTAGAACCAAATCATTTTTCTCTTTTCATTTTTTACCTTTTTTTTCTTCGTATTTTTGCGACATTTTTGCAATTAATAAAAAAAATTTGATAAGTTATATCTAATAAGCATAATTACATAAAAATAAATGTATAACCTAAAAAAGTTTGTAGTTCTAAAAGCAAAAAATTATGTTTAAGTATTATTAATTAAAATACAATTATTTTCTCTCAGTTTTTAACAATTTTTAATTGTAATTTTTGGGCTTTCCTTTTGATATGATACATATTTATGATACTATGTGGTTAGTTTCTAAAAAACCTAATACAGCTTTTTTTAAAACCTAATACAGCTTTTTTAAAACCTAATACAGCTTTTTTTTTCTTCTTATTTCAGATACTTTTTACTGTAAAGCTCTGATTATTAAAATATGATCTCCAATATATTTTTTAATTTTTTCTTTATAAATTTGTGACTTATCTTTAATATCATACAAATAGTAAAGAAGACTAGTCTACAAATATAACATGCATAATTACATGTAAATTAATTATTCTAGTAAATATAATTGTATCTTAAAGACAAATATAAACAAAAATTAGGACGGCTTTTTATGTACTATTCTCAAAGAAAATTATGTTTAAATTGAAGAACAATTAAAATGAGAACATCATCTCCCTATTACTATAATTTTTAGTCATACTTCTGCTGCTTTTCATTGATTTTTTTACATATTATGACGAGTCTGAAAAATATGAATAATTCACATCATTGTATCTAAAAATAAAAAATTAATGAACTTAAAACAGCTTTTCTAAAGTACTCATGTTAAAAGTATGTTTAAAACGAAATAACAATTAAAATCAGATAAATTATTATATTTTTATGTTTTTCATAAAAATATTTTTGCGACTTTTCTCTGATACTATTCATTATATAATGAGCATAAATTATCTTTTACAAACATTTACTTTTAAGTTACTTTTGCGGCCTTTCAGTTCCCATTTCTTTGTTCTCAATTTTTTCTTATATGATGTAATGGAATATAAGATATGTAAAATCTTAAGAGTTTATATTATTTTTAAATTAAATTATTTAGAATGTTTTAAAATAAATACTCACATCCAGTGGACAGCAGTTGTTGGGGTTAGGACTACTATTGCTATGATGAATATTCTAAAACACAACATATTTCAGATGATCGGACACTCGATTCAACATCACGATAGCGACTATCGGCCCTCTTAGTAACACCCATTTTTTACACCCCACCACCTACCATATTTGGCGATACATGACTAGATTACAGTTTTGGCGCACTGACCACAGCTGGACAAAACGTTTTGAATCTATGTTTTTTTAAAAAATGTCATTAAGGTTATGGAAATAAATCGATAAATATATTTGCTTCTTGTTCCATATTAGTTTTATTTTTTATTTATTTATTCATTTATTTTCAGTTAAGACATTAAAAATTTGTAGAACCTTTTTAGGTAAATGAATCAGATTGTAATACATTAATGAATATATTTGACTATTGTTTGATCGGTTTTATTTTACTGTAGTGGAAAATTAAAAATTTGTAAGCGAATTTATAAATATTTAGGTAAGTGAAATATGTGGTAACAAATTAATAAATGCTTACTAACTGTATAATTAATGTTATTTTTATGTTTGTATTATATTTGAAAAATAAAATACTAAATTTGAAATTTTTTAGATAAATGAAGCAGATTAGAATACATTAATAAATGTGTCAAATTATTGCTTGATCAGTTTTATTTTATTGCAGTTAAAAAATAAAAATTTGTAAATGAAATTTTAAATTTTCCGATAAATGATGCAGCTGGTAACAAATTAATAAATTCTTAACTTTTGTTTAATCAGTTATATATAAAAATATAACTTAATTGTTATTGTATTATAATGTAAATGAATTTTAAAATTTTTTGATAAATGAAGCAGGTTATAACACATTAATAAATGCATTAAATTATTGCTTGATCAGTTTTATTTTATTGCAGTCAAAAACTAAAAATTTGTAAATGAAATTTTAAATTTTTAGGTAAATGAAGCAGGTGGTAACAAATTAATAAATATTTAACTACTGTTTAATCAGTTTTAGTTTTATTTTATTATGTTATATTTGAAAAATAAAATATGTAAATGAAATTTAAAATTTTTAGATAAATGAAGTAGATTATAACACATTAATAAATGCATTTAATTATTGCTATATCAGTTTTATTTTACTGTAGTTAAAAACAAAAATTTTGTAAATTAAATTTTAAATGTTAAGGTAAATGAAACAGGTGGTAACAAATAAGGAGATAATTTTAACTAACGGTTAAATTATCAGTTTTATTTTATCATAGTTGAAAAATAAAATATGTAAACGAATTTGAAATTTTTAGGTAAATGAAGTAGATGGTAACAAAAAGATACGTACATTTACTTAAAGTTTGATCAGTTTTATAATTAATTCATTTCTTTATAGATAAAAATAAAAAGTAAAAAATATATTATATTTTGTTTTATTTCTATTTTTATTTCTTGATAAGGAAAGTAAAACTGATACACAATGAGGAAACGAACACATTTTATTTATGTTTGATCAGTTTCAGTTTTATTTTATTTTAGAAAAAAATAAATAAATATATGAGCGAATTTTTAAAAAAAGTACTTATATAAGAAAGCTGAAGAAAATAGTAACAAATCAACAAATACATTTAATTTTATGTTTAATAAATTTTATAATAATTATTTACTTTTGTTTCTTACTTTACATAAAATTTTAAAAAATAATATGTCTATTCTTCTGTTTTTTTAAAAAAATTGTTAAATTGTTTGTTTATTATAACCATAAAAATAAATTATTTCAAACATATGAATTCGGTACTATTATTATTACTATTCTATAATAATATACTAATAACTATTTTTCACCAAGTAATAGTAATAAATATAATATTACTCGGCGTAATATTATACATTTACAATATTTTACATTTGAAAATTAAGTTGTTACATCTTGAAATTTAAAGATTACCTGTGTGGAAACTAAAATTAGAAATATAATTATATCTTACACCATGCTTTTCTCAAATTTCGCTTTAAAAAAAAACATTATCTAGGATTTTTTAAAGAATTATAAACATTAAAATTAATATAAGTGTCTTTATTTTTTTATTTTGCACAATATTGCATAGATTAAACTATACATCACTTTTAAATACTTCAACTCATAAAATTTTTACAATTAAAGTACCTTTAATATAATAATAGTGGTAGTAATACCGATAATAGTGAGAAGAAAAAAAAGAATGAGTGAAAGAAATTAGTTATTACTTAACTTTGAAAACATAAAAAGTAATTTTTCTTTGAAATGAATTAAAGCTTATGAAAAACTTAAGATGAATTAAAACTTAACTTTTTCTTATTTACAAATTCTATTCTATATTAAAGAAAAGGAACTTTTTTTTCAAAAACTTGATTAAGTTACAGCGCTATTGTTTTCAAAACTGGAAATGATAATAAAATTTCAGAGCAATAATTAAAAAGTTGTTACAAAAAAAGAAAGAAGTTGTTAAAAACTTCAACTGGTGGCGAAAGTCAAAAGAGATTTGGCGAGATGTGTTGGCGACCGCAGGTTGGCGGGCGGTAACGATGAAAGAAGTGTCGGCAGCCCTCAAAAGAAAGCACATCCCAATATTCACACCTTTCTTTCAGAGAAAGCGCGCTTACCTTGAATCTCTGCTGGACGGTGATTTCCTTCTCTTCGCTGTCGATGGAAAGTTTTCCAGACAATTGCGATCCAATAAGCAAGTGAAAAATCATTAAAATGAATGAAAGCTACTTTTTTAAACTATAAATGTAAGCCATTTTTCTTAAATTTGTTAATTATTTAAATTCTGACATTGAACTTGAATAAATTATGCTAATTTGAAATTTGTTCGGCTGTCAAATGAGTTAAGTTATTAAAGGAGCGAAATATGATGTTAGGAAAATTTTTATCAGGGTTCTTTTTTAAAAACAGTGAGGAGACAAAAATGAACAAACGTCGATATTTTGAACCATAAGGGTCCAGCCACAAAAAATGCTCTATCTATGTATGATACTGATATAAACAAAAAGTTCTGTTTACAGCAAGTATATAGTCTTTTCCATTATCCTGCACTTTATTTTTGTAGAAGAAATATGATTTGACTTATGAGAGTAAAATATTAATATTTACATTATTAACAAGGAGGGAGTAAAAAAAGAGATTTTTACACGCAGTGTAAAACAAATTATTAATAAGAGAAAGTATAACGAGCATTGGAATTTAAATTAGAAAAATGAATAAACGATTCAAAAGGAATGACATAATTTTTAACTATTTAAGATATTTCCTGATTTAAAACTTCATTCGCTTCAACAATATATAAATAGTAAATAACAGTCGACATGTTATCTACTAATTATATATTTGTATTTTAACATGCCGACTGTTATTCACTATTTATATTTTTAATCAGGTAATATCTTATCGCTTCAGTTTCTTGGGACTATTCATTTAATTTAATTAAGATGATTTTTAAAATTTCATTCTAAGTTGGAAAAGTTTTACAACCTGAGCGAAATCCAAATTCCTATTTCAGATATGCTTGTAACATTAATGTTTGTTAAAAATTGCAACACTATGAAGGTATAGTTAAAAATTTATGAAATTTATTCCACACATTATTGATAGTGGTACAAATAAGCATACGCAATCACTTTGCAATTCTAATAATTTGCATCTGATTATTATAATTTGTATATATTTGTATCTCATTTTACATTTCATTCAAGTTTGATTCAATTTAAATAATTCCTGCTTGGTGTTGCAATTTTCTCAAACATAAGTGTGGGGATGCTACAGGTCACAAAAAACGTAAAAAGTCGTAGAAACTCATTTCGGTTTTATTTAATTCTTCTCCCTTTCATTCAATCGTAACTAAAACTATGGTTTACATTTTAAATTATTCATATTAATTTGGAAAATAAAAGCAAAAACATATCCCTGTAACTTAAGTGTAGAGAGTAACCCGGCACTAGTGGTAATTACCAGGACGGCCGGGTCTCTACTTTAACAGAGACCCGGCACTTACTTACACATATACACACATCCTTACATTCCTTTAATTCTCCCCTCTTTCGTATATATTCCCAAACTGTAAATATCCTTTAGTGTTTATTTTCCCATTGTACTTTAATTTTACCTTTTTTTTATGTACTTATTACTTGTAATTTTGTCATTACCTAATAATGGCAAAGTGCCATTTTTTCTTTTTTATCTCACGAACTCCATTTTGCTCCCCAAAACTTTATTTTTGTCATGTATGTTTCTTAGTCTAATTTCAGGATGAATGGGAAAAGGGCCGTAAGTCCTCACACGCCCAGTTCCATTACAACGAGTAAACGAATGAAGCAAAAACACTCTTTTCCTTCACTTTCAATAGTAAACTTTAAAAAAAAATTATTAAAAGTTGCTAATTTTAATCTCTTTTAATGAAATTTTGAATTTTATTAGTTCCATTTTTTGCCCTTATTCGTATGCAAGCCTGTTAGTGTATTTGGTGAAAGTGGTGGCGAGCTTAGTTATTTCACTTTTTATTTTCAAATTTCATTTCGCTGAAATAAAGGCATTCGCAACAAAATGCATTTATATATTTATTTGATATTATGCGCTTACAAACAATATGTTTTTAGAACTAAAGTGGTAGCCACATTAGATATTTATCAACTTAGCTAAAACGCTAACTCTCTATCACATTTTTGATATTCTAAACTAGTGATTCCCTAAGGGTGTTTCCGCGCAGCTTTACAATTCGGTAGAAGAGGTTCCCGAGAGTAGAATAATTTTTTTCAACCAGTAATGATGCTGAAAGTTTTAATTATATTTAAATCCAATCAATAATTCATTATTTATTTATTATTTCTGTTACCTTTATCAAGTTATTGAATGTAAAATACCAATAAAAAGGAAATAGCAAAGCTAATTTTTTTTAAGAAAAATACATAATTGCTCTAAAATAACAATATCTTGGGTAAATTATAAAAGCATTTATAAAAAATGGCATTGATGGTTTGGACAAAAATATGGAGATACTTCTATACTAACTGTATATAAACACTATTTCTTTCAGCAGCAAATGTTTTTAAAAATGTTACATAAAAAATCTTATGACATCATTCAAAAGTTCGAAGCTTTTAACATGG